TGAAGTTCTGAATCAGAAACAAGTCCGTCATTCTCTCTAAGAAAGCAAGTGGCAAGTTGTGAGCAGCTCATACACACACGTTCTTTCTAAGTCGTACATTCATTTGTTGGTGACTTGCTTATTGGTTTCTCACTGTCTTCCACCAAAAGAACCTTCTTTTCTCTCAACTCAGACTAATTCTTGATTTCAATGTAGATTCAGTCAACTAAAATTTGTTAATTTGGAAATACCAGGATGAACTAGGAAAAGCTCTCTACCTGTGAGTAACTCATGGGTTAGGAGAGACAGACGTGATAGGGAAAAGTATTAAGAGAGGCACACAGGAGGTGTTCTGGCAGCAGCGGAAGATGGGTCTAACTGGCAAGAGGCGGGGACAATTTCTCAGAAAAGGTGTGTTCCTGAGAAATTGCCTATCTTTTCCTGGGGTGAAAGATGGCATTCCTAGAAGAGGGAACAGCAGGCACTAAGGCATGGAGGTGGGGAGAACAAGAAGTTACATTTGTCTGGAGGTTTGGGAGAGTGATGGGAGGTGAGGCTGAGAGGCAGAAAGAAGTTTGTGAAGGGTTCTTTGTGCACACCCGCAGGCTCCGGGGAGCCCTCCAGGTGACTCTGTGCTCTCTTTCTTCTCTGCCAGGAAGCAGGAAGGGGTAAGTTCAGATTTCTGGGTTCCAGTCTTACTTCTTTCTACTTCTTTTCTACTACTCTAGCTCGACCTAAAGTCTGGAACTGTCTGTTTATCTGAATCCTCAGTGCCTGGTACAGGGGGTGATGTGAATTCAATGGACATTCAGACGAATACTAGACAATTAGCTCACCCTTCTAACCTAGCAGTTGGCATGAATCTGAAACTCATGTCTGGTCTGTGCGCTAATCTGCAAGAGAAATAAAATGGAATTACAGCATTTTAAACACAACTTAGGAAAACAAATATTCTCTTTTACCAAGAACTATTTTCAAAAGTACCCCTTCCTGGCCAGGCACAGTGGCTTATGCCTGTAATCACAACATTTTTGGAGGCCGAGGAGGGTGGATTGCTTGAGCTCAGGAGTTCTAGACCAGCCGGGCAACATAGTGAGACTTCATCTCTACATACAATTTAAAACAAAAAAATTAGCTGGGTGTGGTTGCACGTACCAGTAGTCCTAGCTACTCGGGAGGCTGAGGTGGAAGGATGATTGCCTGAGCCCAGGAGGTGAGCCATGATCCATGCTCAGCCTGGGCGACAGAGTGAGACCTCAGCTCCAAAAAGACCAAAAAATGTCCTTTCCTGAAAAGATGTTTCAAATGAAATTCATGACTTAAAATTATTCTCGCACTATTCCCCAGATTCTAAAAATAAGGAACATCCAGGTGAATAAAACATAAAAGTATAAAAATATAATTGACTTTTGATATCTCAGTTTTATATTTCTCACTAACTATTGATGCTCAATAACAACTTTGGGTTTATTTTAAAATAAACTTATTTTTTATAAGTGTGAAAATCATCATAGAAATAGTTGAATATTAGTGTTGGGTGATCCCTTTGAGCTTTTTCTGGTTTAGCATCCTCATTTTATGATTAAAGAAAGTGGGACCTAAATCACTTTATGGAAGTTAGTCCAAATAATTTTCTAAGCCGGGCGGTGCTCACGCCTGTAATCCCAGCACTTTGGGAGGCAGAGGTAGGAGGAATGCCTGATCCCAGAGGTTGGAGACCAGAGTGGGCAACTTGGTGAGACCTAGTCTCTACAATAAATTTTAAAAAATTAGCTGGTGTGGTGGCACGTGCCTGTAATTTCAGCTCCTTGGATGGCTGTGGTGGAAGGATTGCCTAAGTCCACCTGGTTGAGGCTGCGGTGGCTGGTAGAGTGTCACTGCACTCCAGGTTGGATGACAGAGTGAGACTTCAACTCAAAAAAAAAAAAAAAATTCTAGCAGACCATCAAGATCAACCAACAGCTATGACTAAGAACAACTTACTTCTCTTTCTTTTTTTTAAGTTGGAGTCTCACTCTGCTGGAGGGCAATGACACTATCATAGTTCACCATAGCCTTGACCTTTTAGACTCAGGTGATCCTTTTGCCTCAGCCTCCAGAGTGGCTGGGACTACAGGCATACAAAACTACAGCCCAGCTAATTTTTTTTTTAATTGTTATAGAGATGAGGCCTATGTTGCCTAGGCTTGTCTCAGACTCAGGGACTCAAGCAATCCTCTTGCCTTAGCCTCTCAAAGTGCTGGGATTATAGGTGTAAGTCACAGTGCTCAGTCCAAGATCAACTTGTTTTTGTGATGTGGGTCCCTTCAGACTCTTAAAAATGCACGTGGTTTGGCTGGGCTCAATGGCTCAACCTGTAAGCCCACCACCCTGGGAGGCCGAGGCTGGGCTCAACCTGTAAGCCCAGCACTCTGGGAGGCCTGAGCCTGTGGGTTCAAGACCAGCCCGCACAACTTGGTGAACCCTTGTCTCTATGATAAATATAAAAAAGAAAATTAGCCAGTCATGGTAGCACGCACCTGTAGTTCTGGCTACTTCGAAGGGTGAGGCAGAAGGATCACTGGAGCCCAGCAGGTCGATGTTGGGGTGGCCATGAGCATGCCAGTGCACTCCAACCTGGGCGATGGAGTGAGACGCTGACTCAAAAAAAAAAAAAAAAAAAAAAGCACATGTGTGTTCTCATAGTAAAATTTGTATCATACTATTTATTTTTGTATCGTGTGTTTTTTCTCACTCAGTATATATTGATTTTTCCCAAAACTTTGTTACTTGCATACGTTTTACCTACATGTTTGGGTATTTAATGACTACATAATAACTCATTGTATGGATAAACCGTAACTTATTTGACCTATTCTTTGTTGTTGGACAGATAGGTTATTTTGAGCTTTTGCTGTTGTTATTAGAAATAAAACCTTTGTATATACTTCATAGAGTTTCTGTCTGATTATTTATTAAGGGAGAAATTAGTGATTTGATCAAAGAGGATGGACATGACAAAGGCTTCAGATATGAATGCATACTACCAAGTTGGCCAGCCCAGGAAAGTTGTGCAGATTTTCCATAATCAGTAGATTTCATAACATTTTTTAAATCTTAGCAACTTTAGGCCGAGCTCAGTGGCTCAGCCTGTAATCCCAGCACTTTGGGAGGCCGAGATGAGTGGACTGCCTGAGCCCGTGGGTTTAAGACCAGCCCAGGCAACTCGGTGAGACCTCATCTCTACAATAAATCAAAAACTAGCTGGGCGTGATAGCACAAGCCTGTAGTTCCGGCTACTTGGAAGACTGAGGCGGAAGGATTGCTGGGGGGGCCCTGCAGGTTGACGCTGGGGTGGTGGTGAGCTTGCCACTGCACTCCAGCCTGGACAGCGGAGTGAGATTCCAACTCAAAAAAAAAAAAACAAAGAAAAACAAATCTTAGCAACTTTAGACCTAATAGGTTGGTTATTCCAGTTAACTTAGAATTCAAATTTTCCCTCTAAGTTTTAATCATTTAAAAATACTAATAATTATGATGCAATCATTACTTTGAGGAGCCAAGCGATCTCCTCCAATTGTAAATGACGCTGTAAGAGCTAAGGGAGAAACGTGTGACTAAACAAAGATCAAATTAGAAATGTCCAGGAGGTTCCCTGTAGGGGTCACTGTTACTGTCAACTTATGCCTGCAAGGAAACTAAAGATTCACAAATTTAAGAATGCATGCACATTTATTGTTGTTGTGCACATTTCTTAAACTGTAAAATACACAATGAGACCCTGCAGTCAGGTAACATCACGATGCCAAGTTCTTCATATAAGGATACATACCACCCCACCCAGAATGCTTCTCCGTTTAAATCAGTCAAAGATATGCTACTCACATGCAAGCCACTTGTGCCTGCTCTTAATAGAGGAAGCATTAGCTAATTGCCTAACACCACAGAGTGTTTACGTGACAGATGCTGACTCGAAGAAAAGGAAAATAACATTAACTGCTATGGCCGACCGGATCCCCTCTCTCCACTTACCTCTTTCTGCATCGAAATCGCCACAGACAAAAGACAAATGTTGTTATATGTATTCTATCGTGTCATTTGAGTACAAAGAGGTGCTTTTTAATTTTTAAGTTTTTATGAATGCTGCGTAAACATGACCCCGACGTCCCAGGGGAGCCAGGTCACTGTAGCAGCTCGGACACACACGAGCGAGGCGGCTGTCAGACATCAGGGCTGGGGCAGGGAACTGGCCAGGTGCTATGGGAACGTGCCAGCCCTTTCTGGCATCATGAAATGCATCATGAAATGCAAAGCACCCAACTGCCTTCCATGTCCCCCTTCCCCAGCCCCTTTGTCCCGAGATGCAGGAAGGGCTGGGAGGATATTTACTCTCGCCCGCGCACTTCTCTTATAACAGCTCTCTCTCCGGCTCAGAGCCCGCGGGCTCAGGTCCAGCCGCACTTTGCAGGCAGCTGCCCAGCTGATCACCGGCCTGGCCAAGCGCGAGCTGGTCTAGGGGGGTCCGGGAAGCGGAAAGAGCCAGTCTAGGAACCCCTGGGGTGTGTGGTGGTGAAGTCGGTGTGCCAGCCTCAACTTCAGATCGGGGTGGAGACTCAACCTCGCCCCTGGTGCTTTGTGTCCCGCAGCGGACGCTTGGTGCCGTTCGTCTTCCAGCTGCTGTCGCCGCCTCCACGGAGGCTGGGAGTTGGCGACACTCACTCACCTGTCGGCACCCGGATCCGGCAGGAAGAAGGGCCCGGCGGCCGGTGCGCGTGGGTGGCAGCACCCTCGGCGGGCCGGCCCTCCCTCCCGGCGCCGGGACGCCGCCGCCCGCGAGGCAGGTGTGCGGGCCGCTCGTGGAGACTCGAGGCCCCCCGGCCCCGCTCCCCTAGCTCCCTGCTCGCCCCCTTTCGCTCCCAGTCGCCATCGGCGTGGAGTGTCCCGTAGGCCAACTCGGGCAGACGCCAGGGCTGCAGGTTCGAGACGCTCCGCCTCCTCCTGTCACTTAGAGCCATGAGCGCCAGCGGGAACCGTTCCACTGGGTCTCCGTCTGCGGTCACTGCTGAGGTTTAAGGAACTTTCCGGGCAAGGGCCAGCCAGGTCCTTTCCCTCCAACCCACGCCGCGCCTGCCGCCCCCTCGGAGACACCGCCAGGGATCAGGGATCCTCTCCGGGTTCCAACTTTTGCGCGCGCTCTGCGCCCCCTGACTGCTGTCCCACTCCAGCGCCGAGGGGCGCGCGCGTCTTCCCGGGGCCAGCCACGCTCCCAACCTCTAGGCTCTCCCTCCTCCTCCCCGGCGCGGGTGTGGGGCGGGGTGAGGCTAGATTCGGGGTACACTCGAGCTTTCCCAGCGCTCGGGATTCGCCCCCCCCGCCTCAGAGCCGGCCCTTGGGGGGAAATTGAAATCGAGCTCCGGAGGTCCGGGCCGGTGCCGCCGAACTCAAATCGGCCCCGTCTTGGCTCTCCGAATCCCCGTGCCGTCGCGGGCTGATCGGGGAGCTCGGGGCCGCGTCGCCCCGTCGGGTGCGGAACGCGCCATGGCCGGCTGCTGCTGCCTGACCGCGGAGGAGAAGGAGTCGCAGCGCATCAGCGCGGAGATCGAGCGCCAGCTTCGCCGGGACAAGAAGGACGCGCGCCGCGAGCTCAAGCTGCTGCTGCTGGGTGAGTGGCTGCGACCCCCGACCCCCGCGAGCCGGGCGTTCGCCTCCCCCCGCCCCTCTGCACGCCGGGACCCCCTCGCGCCCGGAGTCCAGCAGAGCGCAGCGCGCCTAAAGCCTCCTCCCCGAGGGCTCGCGGACGCCGCGGACTTGAGCCACAGGCGCCTGTCCTTTGCAAAAGCACCCCCTTCTCCTACCCCAAAACTGGAACCCTCGACCCCTTGTCCGCTGCCCCCCACGTGTTCCAGTGTGGCCCTCTTCCCCAAGCCTCGTCCACGCGACTGCCCACCCGGCTTGAGGTCGGTGGGGGGCCACCTGACTCACATCTTGGGTGCCACCCTGGCTCCGACCCGCATGCTTTCAGTTTTAGGTGAAGTACCTTGAGCGTTTACCACGTGCCAGCTCGTGCTAAGTTTTTATGGGCATCACCACCCGGTGAGGCGGGCAAGTCATATCCCCATGCTAGAGAATTAAAAATGGAGGCCTAGAAAATGGACACACTTGCCTAGATTGAGAAAAGGCAGAGCGGATTCCAGGTCAGCCGCGGGAGTGAGGCCCGTGCCATGGGCCACTCTCCAGACTCTGTGTCCTCCTACGTCTGCTCCCCTGGGTCCCTTTGGCAAGACCTTTCTGTTTACAGCAGGCCCAAGCCTCCCTTGTCCAGCTTGTCTCCTCTTAGGGTCGCTGCCTCGTCTATTCTTCATCAGGCTCTTTTGGTCTCTTGCAGAGGTCTGGGAGGACATCCACTTTCAAAAGCAGTTTAAGATTTGCCCAGTTTATGCCACAGGGCAAGGATTTCATCTCTTCGCTGTTCAATCCATTCACTGTTTAAGGAAGATTTGCCTTTTCCTTCTTTCAGACCGTGACCTCAGCTATGGATGTTTTTCTAAATAGCCTCAAGTATTCCAACTTTTTTGCTTTCGTCCCTTCCAGACAGGAATCCTCTCTTGTACCATCTGTCTGTTTGTTGATTCACTTTTAATATGAGGAGTTACCCTCCCAGAAGTCTTCAAGGAAAGAAAAGTGGATCTAGTTGGTATAAAATAGAGAAGGCTTTTCGCCAGTCCTGACTTCAGACCTGGGCAGAGGGAGCCCCTTGCACTTACCCTCTAGATTTAGACAGTGTCGACTTTCCCAGGCTGTGCCCCTCCTCCCCATAGCACTGGGAGTCTGCACTCCTCCCCCCAAGCCCCACTTGGAATTCTCTGCTCAAAGAACTCCAAGCCTGCCTATGGAGTGAGCCCTAGAAGAGAGGGCAGACCTGATCCCTAAGGAGTGCCCAAAGGGACTGGGGTAGTGGAAGAGCTTGGAAATTGGGCTGGGTGAGGGGAGTCCACATGTGTGTCCAAGAGGCCCCTCTGCTAGAGAGGGGGCCTGGGTGGGGAAGATAAGGGGGTCTAACCATTAACCAGGTCTGCGCTTTCCATCTCTGGCCCATAACTCTGAGGGGTCTGAAAATTCTACATTGTATCTGGTCTTCTAGGCTGTATAAAGCTACCTCTGTCAAGGGAGGAGGATTGTGTGACAGTTTGCCAGCTTGATTAACACTTTAAAGTAATTATACAGGCCTTAATTTACATGCTTGCACCAGACCCCACAAGCCAAAGGGATCTGGTTTTAGATGCATATATACTTTTTTTTTTTTTTAATGGCGGACTGACCCCTTTTTATTATGAAATACTTTGATTCATGTCAGTGTATGAAGTATAGTGTCCAGGAGCCTGACAAATACTGGCTCTTTGTATGAAAAATCACGCGGTCAGCTGGGCCATGTCCCAGTAATAAGCAATTTGTTTGATGTAAAATGCTTGCATTTACACCCAGACCAGGGAGGAATGTTTGTTGGTAATTTGTTTACCCTGAAAGTCACATTAATCAGGGTGTCTAGAGGGTCTCCTTCGTCTCCCCAGGCCCTTGCTCCAACCCTCTTCCTAACCCCTTCAGGCACTGCCTGATCTCTCCAAGACCCCCATTTTCATTTTGCCAAGCTGTGACTAGCACATCCTGTTAGTGACAACTTTCCTGTGAAAAATAACAGTTTTCAAAACACATGGAGCCATTCAGAACCCCAAGGATGAATTTTAAAACCTCTGGTTTCTTTCAGTCTGAAAGGGAAGAAGGTACAGTTTCATGTTTTCTTCTCAAGATAAAGGAAGAGGCAGTGACTCATACAGAAGACAGGGGAATCGGAAGGAGATGTGCTGCTTTGCCTGAAGTCATGCAGTTTGAACAAAAAATCCACCCGAGTCTCCATGGTGGGTAAATTAGATCATCCACAGCTCAGGTGTCTCTGTTTGCAAATGGGAGTTTGCGATTCTGTGTGGAACATGGAGTGACTTGAAAAGTCAGCCAATTTTAGGATGTTTCCAAAGTGCAGCATCCTGTTTGCGTTTAATAAAAGCATGGGTCAGTGTCCAGCAGGGACAGATAAAAGCTGTTGTCTGGTTATGGCTGGTAGTTGCAAGATGTCGGCGTGCTGCCTTCTTATTAGACGGAGGGAATAAAGGAGACAGTTAAATTTTCAGTAGAAAGAATTCCTTATCAATTCCTTGGATAAAAACAGGACAAAAAGGAGTTCTGATAAGGTACTGTCTGGTGTGGAAAGAAAATGTCAGGGGAGTTGTAACTAAATGAGGGAAAATGTGATCCTTTATTGATTTTAGTGTTAAATGGGGATTGCTGATGTGTTGCTTATTAATTGGGTTGAGTGTCTCTAGCAACTTTGATGGCTTAATTTTGGATGAGGACCTCACCTTGGATGGAACTCTCTGGAAAGAAGAGGAATTGGTGTTTAACTTAGGCTGACTCTATTAGTTTGCTAGGGCTGCCATAACAAAATACCACAGACAAGGAGGCTTAAACAATGAAAGTTGGGTTTTCTTTCTTTTTTAAAATTTTTTTTTTATTTTAAAATTGTGAGGTACAGTTAAGGGATAGGTATACAAATATTCACTGTGCAGGTACCCTTGTTGATGAGGTGTGCCCCCCTTTCCCCAGACAGATATTGACCTACCATTAATCCCATCTCCCTTCCCCTCCCTGCTCCCCCTCCCATAGTTTCCTGCCACTGTCCATCCTTTTCCTTTTTTTTTTGAGTTGGAGTCTCACTCTGTCGCCCAGACTGGAGTGCAGTGGCCGCTCCCGGCCACCGCAGCCTGGACCTGCTGGGCTCCGGCGATCCTTCCGCCTCAGCCTTCCTAGTAGCTGGAATTACAGGCGCGCTACCACGCCCGGCTGATTTTTTGATTTATTGTAGAGATGAGGTCTCGCTGCCCAGGCAGGTCTCGAACCCGCGGGCTCAGGCAAACCACTCACCTCAGCCTCCCAAAGGCGCGGGATTACAGGCGAGCCACCAAGCCCGGCTCATCCTTTTCTTATAGTATTACGGTAGATGTTCAAGGTCCACTTATGAGTGAGAACATGTGATACTTTGTTTCTGCGAGAGATCACTCAGTATTATAAACTCTAATTCCTCCACAGTTACAGAGACTGGAAGTCCAAGATCAAGGTGTTGGCAGGTTTGGATTTTCCTGAGGCCTCTCTTCCTGGTTTGTAAACAACTACTTCTCACTGTGTCCTCATATGACCTTTCTTCTATGTACACTCATCCTGTGTCTCTCTTCCTCTGCCTGTAAGGACACCAGTGTTATTGGATTAGCGCTCCATTCTAAGAGTCTCATTTTCTCTTAATCATCACTTGCAAAACCTTATCTGCAAATACAGTCACATTCCGAGGTACTGGTGGTTGGGACATCAACATAAAAGTTATGATGGGAGTACATATCAATCTACAATACCAGCATCAGTATTAAAAATGTAGCTTCTTGGGCCAGACTGCCTGGGTTCAAACTCTGGCCCTTCGGTTTCTTAACTGTGTAGTAACTTCTCTGGGCTTTGTCTGGCAGTGAGTGCTCAGTGAGTGTCAGTTATCATTGCTCCGTTTTGAGTAATTTCAGGCCCCAGCGAGGTGTCATTTTTCCATTTTGGTTGACGAGTTGTAGGTTGTATAGCTATTTGTCAAAGTTGTCCTGGCAGTGCTTTAACAGAAATGTTTTGCTTTGAGTGTTTTCTGAGCCAAGAGCTGATTTTAAAATCTCTCTTCCTACTTACGCCAAAGAGTTGAAAGTCTGGGTCCCCCAAATTTTTATTGGATTGACTCTAACAAAGTCGCATTTTAGAACTAGCTATCAAGTTCCAGGAGGGAAGTCCATTTGATGAAATGGCACAGGTAGTGTGGGTTTCATGATAGAGTGTGACAAACTTTGTCCACTCAGTGAAGAAGAAAAGGAGTGAAATGGTAAATATGCCCATCTTCCTTCCTCTGAACTTAGTTCAACTCAACAGACTTCCAAAGTGCCACCAGATATGTTGCTCAGGGTGGGAATTCATTTCCCAAGACTGAGTTGGAGGAAGGTAGTTCATAAACAACTATTATGAGGAAGGTGATCATAAAAGCTTAGCAGAGGTTAAGAGGTGGTACCGACAGAGCAAAAAAGGGGAGCGGGGAGGCATCATCTGAGTAGGATCTCAAAATATGGGGAAGTTAGGATGCTAGCGATCCTCTGCATTTGGGGGCTTGGATGAGATATATAACTGCTCCCCACTTACCTAGGGAAAGTTGTGAGGACAGTAAGTAGTGTTCTTAGGACCCGGGGTAATATGAAGCATCCCTTGGGAACCAGATTTCATAAAGTTTTTACGTTTTATCTTATCCAGTTATGTGTTTATTGTGTTCACTGCAAACTTGATGTTAATATAAAAATTCTGGTTTTTAAAAATTTGCCATAATATGCTACAAAAAGGGGAATTGTGGCCAGGCACAATGGTTCACACCTGTAATTCCAGCACTTGGAGAGGCCCAGGCAGAAGGATTGCTTGAGTCCAGGAGCTTGAGACTAGCCTGGGCAACATAGTGAGAACTCATCTTTTAAAAAACAGTAAAAAATTTAGCCAGGCACAGTGGCATGTACCTGTAGTCCTGGCTACTTGGGAGGCTGAGGCAGA